TGTTGTGCTTCAGTTTCGGTTACGTATTGCTTTTCTCCGAAAAGTAGATAATCTACTTTTCAAGAAAGTAAATAACCATCACCGGAAAGTAGATATTTCCCATTTTCTATGATACAAATTTCGTTTTCTATGATAGTAGATAACCAACTTTCCCAGAAAGTAGAAATATTTCCCATTTTCTGTGATACAAATTTCCGTTTTCTATGATAATCTACTTTGGAAAATATTAATATTTAAAGTCGATAATCTACTTCCACAAAAGTCGATAATCTTTTCTCGAAAGTAGATAATCTACTTTTCGGAAAATAAATAACCAACTTTCCGGAAAGTAGATATTTCCATTTTCTATGATACAAATTTCCGTTTTCTATGATAAGTAGATAACCAACTCCCAAAGTAGAAATATTTCCCATTTTCTGTGATACAAATTTCCCGTTTTCTATGATAATCTGCTTTGGAAAATATATTAATATTTCCCAAAAGTCGATAATCTACTTCCTAAAAAGTCGATAATCTACTTTCTCGAAAAGTGAATATCTACTTTTCGGAAAAATGAATAACCAACTTTCGGAAAGTAGATATTTCCATTTTCTATGATACAAATTTCCGTTTCTATGATAGTAGATAACCAACTTTCCCAGAAAGTAGAAATATTTCCATTTTCTGTGATACAAATTTCCCGTTTTCTTGATAATCTACTTTGGAAAATATGTTAATATTTCCCCAAAAGTCGATAATCTCTTCCACGAAACGTCGATAATCTACTTTCTCGAAAAGTAGATAATCTACTTTCAGGAAATAAATAACCAACTTTCGGAAAGTAGATATTTCCCATTTTCTATGATACAAATTTCCGGTTTTCTATGATAAGTAGATAACCAACTTTCCCAGAAAGTAGAAATATTTCCCATTTTCTGTGATACAAATTTCCGTTTTCTATGATAATCTACTTTGGAAAATATGGTAATATTTCCCAAAGTCGATAATCTACTTCCACAAAGTCGATAATCTACTTTCTCGAAAGTAGATAATCTACTTTTCGAAATGAATAACCAACTTTCGAAATGAAAATAACTTTCCCAGAAAGTGAAATATTTCCCATTTTCTGTGATACAAATTTCCCGTTTTATGATAATCTACTTCGGAAAAATTAGTAATATTTCAAACGTCGAAATCTACTTCCCCAAAAGTCGATAATTGCGAACTTTTGAGAATAAGAAAGTTCGCAAGTCATTTTTCTCTCTTAAGTTCGAACCTACGACAATTAAAGATCGTAAATTCGTATTCCCAAAAGATCGTAAGTATCTACTTTTGGTGACGTAGATTTTCTACTTTTCGGTTAAGTATAAAAATTGGCTCTTTTATTTTTTGCCTTTGGAACCCTTTTGTTTTCAACGTTTTATTAGGATTATTATAAACAAATTAAGTATTTTTTTTCATTTATACGACACATTAAGTTACTATACAAATATTTGTTATGATTGACACCAGGTTACTGCTAGGTTAGGTTGCCCTTATGTTCTACAACCTGTGTACACAGGTCCCCATAAAGGCGACCCAACCTGACCATGCAAGGCTACCAGTGTGCAGCAGTCGACGTGTCTCCCCTATCTCTATAGTGAGGGCTCAGACAAGCCTCGCACACCCAGCGCAAGCATCACTGTCCCTAGCAGTGACACACAGCTTTAGTGTCATCACATAGTCTTACCACTGTGCACAACTAGCTACTTATAAGCCCACCCTAGAAGCATCATGTAGATCTTGAGAATCAATCAGCCTCCCAGAGACACAGATAGCTCTTAGAGCCTCACACATCCCCAAGTTGCCACAAACATCACTTATCTTGAAGACACACTGCCTTGTAATTAATTTTTAATATGTGCAACATTTGAAAACAAAAACAAAATACAATTACAAAAGTTTGTCCAGAAAAATTCATTGGTTACAAAGTAAGTTGTGAACACGTAATAAATAACCATTAAACTAAACTGATAATTAGAAAATAATTAAACTGGCATCTTTTGTTTCAGTGCTGTGCCAGCTAGAGTAAAACTTTGTGTTATACAAATGAAGATGAAACTACTGTAAAAATATCATGCTTCAACAACTATTTTACTGTTGCTGGCACTGGTTAAAAGATGCTAGTTTTAGAATTTACTGTAATTTTCAGTTCTTATTAAATCATTACAACTTGCTTGTAACATTATTGTCCAAAGTTCTCTGCATTTTAAGTGAGCTGAAGTCATAGGCATTCCATTGGTGGACCACCTGTTGACGTCACCACTAGTAGTCTACGTCAATGGTGGAACAGACCCACAAACAATGACGTCATCACCAGAAGTCTGCCTTAATGGTGAGACAAAGCCCTTCCACTTTACACCTCACAGTCAGTCCCTCACTCCTACAACTCAGTGAGTCCTTCCTCAGTCCTACACCTCAAAGTGAGTCCTTCCCTCACTCCTACACCTCAGTGAGTCCTTCCTCATCTACATAACATTGCAAGTCCTTCCTCACTCTATAAACACTGCAAATCCTCCTCCCTCCTTAACCCCCCACTCCTTAGTAGGTCTAATCCCCCTCTCACTAATTATCAGGTCAGTAAGTCCTCCTCTCATTCATTAAGTCAGCAAGTCCTTTCCTCATTTACGAACATCACTACATGTCCTTCCCTAGGTCCTACACCACACTACAGGTCCTTCCCTCATTCCTACACAATACTGAAGTCCTTCCCTCAATAAAACACAATACTGCATATCCTTCACTCAGTCCTACAGTAATCAGTAGATAAACTTTCAATATAGTAAATATTGTGCACAATACAACTTCCTGTCATGTCGGGTAGACTGACTTATTTAGGATATATTCATCTTTTTCTGTACACATACATTAGGAGCATCAATTAACCCTCTCAGTCACAAGTACAGTAGCTCTCTAAGAGCCTCACACATCTCCAAGTT